TAGACTAGACTATAGACTAGACTATAGACTAGACTATAGTCCACACTATAGTGTAGACCATAATAATCCAGATTAAAACTTGACTTTTAGACCAAATTAAAAACTAACGTCAACACTGTAGTCTTAAGGTATATATACTATGGATTGTTCTATAGACTGCTCCATAATCCAGTCTAAATAAAATCATTTTATATCAGTTCTTCAGGGATTCTTTTTAAGGTTTTTTCTTTTATTTAACAAAAAATCATTATAATCATCTCGTTATTTTCTAATTTATTCAATTCACATAAAATATAAAATAGCAACAAATTATTCAAGGTTCTTTTGCAAATTGTTCACACATGTATAAGAAGAAAAAAGAGAAAAATCAAAAATAATTTATGCATATAGAAATACACAAATCTTATTTAGTTTGCAAACAAAAAAAAATACATATTTGTTTTATTTCGCATTAAGAATCTTAGAAATACGAACGTCATCGGACGTCATCGTCAAAATCATCAACCTCATAGTAGAGATAATTTATGCTCAAACAAAATTCTGCTTTTTTTTGTTAAATTTTGTGTTTGTTTTTTATTTAAAAAAACGAAAAACTAACAAGATAAGAAACAAAATTAAACCAAAAATCAACAAAAAGATACAATTCATTCTTTTTTTATGTAAATAGAAAAGAAAATGACGTATATTATGATGAAAACTAAATAAATTTAAATGTATGAATGGGATTTTGGTTTTTATGAAGATCTGTTTGAACAGAAAGACATTTTCGTAATAGATTTTCTGGGAAGTTGTTAATTATATTCTTTTATCATAATGTTTATTTGTCTAATTGGCAAATAGTTTGCGGTAGTTTTTTTTTATATCTTTAAATGGTTAGAGTGGTAAACACGTGCTGTGATAACTAATAGTTTTTAACAATTTATGTTAGTTGTCAATGACATTTCAATCACATGATAGAAGTTTTCATAAAAAGGAAAATATTTCCAACAAAAATTGGATTTTTTTAAGTTCTACTCCAACTCATTTAAGTAACTAAAAAGCAACCTTTTTTTAAACAAAATATTGCAACAACAACTATTTCACAATGGCAACTGAATATTATTTAAACAAAATAAAACGCACATTTTACTTGTTTACCAGCTAAAACAGAGACACATTGTTGGTTGTCTTGGAAGCTTAAATAATCACCAATTCAGTTAAAACAAAGTTGTTAAGAAACAAACAAAAAAAACGAATTTCAAAAACAATAAAAATGCATTAATATAAAATACAACAAAAACACAAATCACCTTAGCAGCAACCCAAGAAAAAAATAAATAAATAATAATGGTAAAATGGTGTTTTAAAACTCAAAACTCCCAGCACAATCAATTTTTTCTTTTGAGCTTTATTTTTTGTAGTCAAAAACAAACAAAAACATGTTATACAAATAAAATCGCACATCTCAGCGAACGTTAACTGCACGAAAACCAGTCTTCGGTTTGGTTATTTTGGGTACATTTCAAATTATTATGCAGTCATTATAAGATAGTGAAGGGGGCAGGTAGGAAGGGGTGTAGAGTAGTAAAAAGACAAGTAAGAAAAAAATACAAAATAAAGCAAGAAAAAAAAAACAATTTTAAAAGTAAATTTAAGAAAAACTGTAAAAAAATAGTATGAATGTTCAGTCTAAAGACTTAACTTTAGATCAGTTTATATGTTAGAGTCTAGTCTATAAAATAGACTATAGATTAGTATATAGTCAAGACTATAGATCTATAGACTGATCTAAGACTATAGATCTATAGTCTAATTTAGACTATAGATAAGTCTGTCTATATAGTAGACTATGGAGAAATCTGTAGTCTAGACTATAGATCAGTCCATAGTGTAGTTTAAATTCTAGTCTGTAGTCCTGTCTCTAGTCTTGTCAATAGTCTAGTCTACAGCCCAGTCTATAGTCCAGCCTATAGTCTATTCTATAGTCTTAACTATAGCCTATAGTCTAGTCTATAGTCCAGTCTATATTCTAGTCTGTAGTCTAGTCTATAGTCTAGTCTAAAGTCTTATAGTATAGTCTATAGTCTATCCTAAGTCTATTCTTTAGTCTTATCTATAGCCTATAGACTACTAAAAGTATAGTCTATAGTCTAGTCCATAGTGAAATCTATAGTCTAGTTTATATTCTAGTTTGTAGTCTAGTCTATATTCTTGTTTGTAGTCTAGTCCATAGTGCAGTCCATAGTGTAATCTGTTGTCTAGTCTGTAGTCTAGTATGTAGTCTAGTATGTAGTCTAGTCTATAGTCTAGTCTATAGTCTAGTCTATAGTCTAGTCTATAGTCTAGTCTATAGTCTAGTCTATAGTCTAGTCTATAGTCTAGTCTATAGTCTAGTCTATAGTCTAGTCTATAGTCTAGTCTATAGTCTAGTCTATAGTCTAGTCTATAGTCTAGTCTATAGTCTAGTCTATAGTCTAGTCTATAGTCTAGTCTATAGTCTAGTCTATAGTCTAGTCTATAGTCTAGTCTATAGTCTAGTCTATAGTCTAGTCTATAGTCTAGTCTAGTCTATAGTCTAGTCTAGTCTATAGTCTAGTCTAGTCTATAGTCTAGTCTAGTCTATAGTCTAGTCTATAGTCTAGTCTAGTCTATAGTCTAGTCTATAGTCTAGTCTATAGTCTAGTCTAGTCTATAGACTAGTCTATAGTCTAGTCTATAGTCTAGTCTATAGTCTAGTCTATAGTCTAGTCTATAGTCTAGTCTATAGTCTACTCTATAGTCTAGTCTATAGTCTAGTCTATAGTCTAGTCTATAGTCTAGTCTATAGTCTAGTCTATAGTCTAGTCTATAGTCTAGTCTATAGTCTAGTCTATAGTCTAGTCTATAGTCTAGTCTATAGTCTAGTCTATAGTCTAGTCTATAGTCTAGTCTATAGTCTAGTCTATAGTCTAGTCTATAGTCTAGTCTATAGTCTAGTCTATAGTCTAGTCTATAGTCTAGTCTATAGTCTAGTCTATAGTCTAGTCTATAGTCTAGTCTATAGTCTAGTCTATAGTCTAGTCTATAGTCTAGTCTATAGTCTAGTCTATAGTCTAGTCTATAGTCTAGTCTATAGTCTAGTCTATAGTCTAGTCTATAGTCTAGTCTATAGTCTAGTCTATAGTCTAGTCTATAGTCTAGTCTATAGTCTAGTCTATAGTCTAGTCTATAGTCTAGTCTATAGTCTAGTCTATAGTCTAGTCTATAGTCTAGTCTATAGTCTAGTCTATAGTCTAGTCTATAGTCTAGTCTATAGTCTAGTCTATAGTCTAGTCTATAGTCTAGTCTATAGTCTAGTCTATAGTCTAGTCTATAGTCTAGTCTATAGTCTAGTCTATAGTCTAGTCTATAGTCTAGTCTATAGTCTAGTCTATAGTCTAGTCTATAGTCTAGTCTATAGTCTAGTCTATAGTCTAGTCTATAGTCTAGTCTATAGTCTAGTCTATAGTCTAGTCTATAGTCTAGTCTATAGTCTAGTCTATAGTCTAGTCTATAGTCTAGTCTATAGTCTAGTCTATAGTCTAGTCTATAGTCTAGTCTATAGTCTAGTCTATAGTCTAGTCTATAGTCTAGTCTATAGTCTAGTCTATAGTCTAGTCTATAGTCTAGTCTATAGTCTAGTCTATAGTCTAGTCTATAGTCTAGTCTATAGTCTAGTCTATAGTCTAGTCTATAGTCTAGTCTATAGTCTAGTCTATAGTCTAGTCTATAGTCTAGTCTATAGTCTAGTCTATAGTCTAAAGTCTAGTCTATAGTTTAGTATATAGTCTAGTCTATAGTTTAGTATATAGTCTAGTCTATAGTCTAGTCTAGTCTATAGCCTAGTCTATAGTCTAGTCTAGTCTATAGTCCTAGTCTATAGTCTAGTCTATAGTCTAGTCTATAGTCTAGTCTATAGTCTAGTCTATAGTCTAGTCTATAGTCTAGTCTATAGTCTAGTCTAGTCTATAGTCTAGTCTATAGTCTAGTCTATAGTCTAGTCTATAGTCTAGTCTATAGTCTAGTCTATAGTCTAGTCTATAGTCTAGTCTATAGTCTAGTCTATAGTCTAGTCTTTAGTCTAGTCTAGTCTAGTCTAGTCTATAGTCTAGTCTATAGTCTAGTCTAGTCTATAGTCTAGTCTATAGTCTAGTCTATAGTCTAGTCTATAGTCTAGTCTATAGTCTAGTCTATAGTCTAGTCTATAGTCTAGTCTATAGTCTAGTCTATAGTCTAGTCTATAGTCTAGTCTATAGTCTAGTCTATAGTCTAGTCTAGTCTATAAACTAGACTATAGATTAGTATATAGTAAAGACTATAGATCTATAGACATATCTAAGACTATAGATCAGTATATAATTTATATATATAAGTCTATATACTAGACTATATAAGTCTATATACTAGACTATGAAGAAATCTGTAGTCTAGACTATAGATCAGTCTATAGTTTAGTTTACACTACAGATCAATCTATATTCTAAACTATAGATCAGTTTGTAGTCTAGTTTATAGTCTAGTCTATGGTTTATAGACTCGTTCATAATCTTGTCTATAGTTTCTGTAGTCTAGACTATAGTCTAGTCTATTGTCTATTCTATAGTTTATTCTATAGTCTAGTCTATAGTCTAGTCTATAGTCTAGTCTATAGTCTAGTCTATAGTCTAGTCTACAGTCTAGTCTATAGTCTAGTCTATAGTATAGTCTATAGTTTAGTTTATTGTGTAGTTTATAGTATAGCCTGTAGTCTAGTCTATAATCTAGTTTATCTAGTATATTATAGACTTCACTCTTAAAATTACTTTTAGTAATCAACAAATCATTTTTTTTTAATTAGAAATTGCGGTTATCAATCTAAATGTGATTGTTTTAAGAAAACACTCACTGGCAATGATTACACATAAATTTAGAAGTCTTGCATCAGTTATTTTATATTTATATATCATGATAAATCTAGTAAAATCTTTTTTATTATTAATTTATTATTATATTAAAACACTTACCTATTATTCTTTCAAAAGTCATATAAAAAATATATTCCTTTGCACGGGCGGGGGTGTTGGTTTGTTGTTAATTCACAAAGAATCCACTTAAGATAATAAATGAAATAAGCGAAAAAAACTCAAAAAACAACTAAATATGAAGAGTTTTCAAATTTAACGGTAAGTTAAGCAAATTTTGTTGGAAAAGTTTTAAATTTTTTAAAAATTAAAAGTTTTTTTTTTAAAAAGTTTTTTGTTTTTAAACAAAAAGAGAATTTAATAAAACAAAAAGTTGAAAACAAAAACTAAATGAGGAAGAGTTTCTTTTTTATTGTTGTTGTTTTTATAAAACAAATGGAATTTTTTTCTTTTATTTATCACTGCCTTTGCACTCAGCACAAAAAATTATGTGACTTTTGTGTGTGTAGCAGAAGAAGAAGAAACAAAATAATTAACTGCAAAGAGAAGAAAAAAAGAAAGAAATAATTAAAATAAAAAAGCTTAATAATAAAATTGTTTATTGTATAAAAAGAAAGAAGATTTGGGTAGGAGGTTAAACAAAATTGCATTATTTTGGGTTTTTTTCGATTTGCATTGAAAATTTTTTAATTTTTTAATTATTTTTTTTTTTTTTTTTTTTTGCAAATAGTATAATTAAACAAAAAAAACGTTTGTTGCTAAGCGTTCAGTTGTTGTGTTTGTATTATAATTTACTTTTGTTTTTTTTTTAATGTGTTTTTCCACTTTTGCAAAAAATAAAAGTAATTTTAATGAATAGAGTTGCCAGGGTTTAATAAAAATTGAAGCAAAATGCAGCATTTAAAAAAATAACAAGATATTAAGGTCTTTAAAACAAAAATAACTTCCAAAAGTAGCTAAAGCGCAAATCTTTAGAAGACAGTCTTCTTCGAACAGCTTATGCGGGTTATTAGCTCTTGAGGTTACCATGTGAGCGTTTAAATGATGGTAGGGGATCCCCTTCTGTTAACGTTATGTGGCTTCCAAATTGCTAGACTTCTTTTAGGGGAAGTTTTAAACTATTCTAAAGCATTTACTTGTTAAAGACTTTCATTTCGTTTGGCTTAAGGTCCCCCCGGGGCTTGACAATTCTACCATTAACACAGAAGATTGTCTTGATTTGTGTGTAACAGCAATTCTTTGCTAAATCTCCTTAGAACACAGTTTCTTCAGTGTCCTATATCTACTGCTCTTTATAGACTAAGACTTTGAATGGCCATAGGTCCCCCTGGGGTTAACACCTTTACAATTAACACAGAAAATAGTCTTGGTTTATCAGTAGCAGCATTTCAATGCAAGTTTTTCTTAGAAAACAGCTTCATCAATGTCTTAGCAATGCTGCTCTTTATAGACCAAGACTTCGAATGGCCTTAGGTCCCCCTGAAGTTAACACCATTACAAATTACAAAGGATTGCCTTGGTTTGTGAGTAACAGCAATTCTTTGCTAAATCTCCTTAGAACACAGTTTCTTCGAAGTCCTATATCTGCTGCTCTTTATAGACAAAGACTTTGAATGGCCTTAGGTCCCCCTGGGGGTTGACAGCTTTACAATTATCACAAAAGATTGTCTTGGTTTGTGAGTAGCAGCATTTCAATGCAAGTTTTTCTTAGAAAACAGTTTTTTCAAAGTCTTAGCAATGCTGCTCTTTATAGACTAAGGCTTCGAATGGCTTTAGTTCCCCCTGGGGTTAACACCATTACAATTAACAGAGAATTGTCTTGGTTTGTGAGTACCAGCAATTCATTGCCAATATTCCTTAGCTCGCATTTTCTTCAAGGTTTAAATAAAGCTGTTCTTTATAGATTAAGATTTTGAGTGGCCTTAGGTCCCCCTGGGGTTGACAACTAAACAATTACCACAGAATAGATTAATTTGTTTTAGCAACAACTAAAATTTCTTATATATTTTCATTAGAAGGCAGTTTTAAGTATCTCTATTACTGCCGCTTTATACAGACAGAGAATTCAATCGGTTTCAGGTCCCCTGGGGGGTTAACACCTTTAAATAGAGGTGAATCTCTTAAGATTTAAAAGAAAAAGCTTTTCATGGCTAATTTTAGTTTAGGGTTAGTTTTCAGCAGTCGCTATCACTGCTGCTCTATACAGACTGAGATTTCAATTGGTTTCAGGTCCCCTGGGGTCGATCCCTCAAAATTAGTACTGGATTCTTTTAGATTTGCGAGAAGTAACTTTTCCTGGCTTATTTTCTTTATGAAGTATTTGCTAACATTTCTATTATAGCAGCTCTATATAAACTGATTATTTGATTGGTCTTTGGTCCCCCTGGGGTTGTAGTCTCATTAAGGCAGAAAGATAGATCGCATTGCGGTGCAATTTTCGTTAATTTTTAGATACTACTGTCTCTATTACTTAATACCTAAAGAACTCCACTGGGGTCACAAAGCCAGATTAAATATTGACAATTTTTCCAAAAAAATTTAATTTCTTTTAAAGTATTGAAAAATTTCGAAAAATATTGAAAATTTCTGAAAAACTTTGAGAATAACTGAAAATTTTTGAAGAATATTGAAAATTTGTGAAAAATATTGAACATTTTTGTTAAATATTGAATATTTATAAAAAAGTATTGAATATTTATGAAAAATATTGAAAGGTTTTGTAAAATATTGAAAATTTATAAAAAATATTGAAAATTTTGAAAAATATTGAATATTTTTATAAAATATTGAAAATTTATAAAAAAAAATATTGAACATTTTTGTTAAATATTGAATGTTTATAAAAAAAAGTATGGAATATTTATGAAAAATATTGAAAAGTTTTGTAAAACATTGAAAATTTCTGAAAAATATTGAAAATTTTTGTTAAATATTGAAAATTTTTGTTAAATATTGAAATTTTTTGTTAAATATTAAATATTTCTAAAAAAGTATTGAAAATTTTTGAAAAATATTGAAAAGTTTTGTAAGATATTGAAAAGTTTTGAGAAATATTTAAAATTTCTGGAGAATATTAAAAATTTTTGTAAATTATTGAAAATTTATAAAATAAATATTGAAAAATTCTGAAAATTTCTGAAGAAATATTGAAATTTTTTATAAAATATTGGAAAATTTTGAAGAATATTGAAAATCTTTAAAAAATATTGAAAATTTTTCGAAAAATATTGAAAATTTTTGATTAATATTAGAAATTTTTGAAAAATATTGAAAATTTATAAGTAATAAACATTTTTGAAAAATCTTAAATAATTTTTTTTAAGAAAATGTCTTAAAATTTTTCGTTTTCTAGAAAATTTCCTTCCCTTTCCATTACATTTTTCTTAATTGTCCTGGCAACCCTTAATATTTTCTTCAGTAAAAACAAGAAAAATCTACAGACACATACACACAAACCACCACTTTTTTTCCCTAGAAGAAAAAAAAACACCAAGAAAACTGCTCCCTTTGGACACGTTCTCCAACACTAACAACAGATTGTAAAATTTTCATCAATTTCCCTAACAATTTCTAGCAAAAACCACGATTTTCAACACATTTTTTTTTTGGAATTTTTTTTAACACGTCATTTATTTCTTTAGCACTTCGCCTGCTGCTAATTGTACAAAACCAACATGAAAAATTGCACAAAACTTTAAGGTCTTTATTGCTCCACAAAGCATTTTACTTTTTTTTTGCAATTCGTTTCGTATATTTTCTGTGTGGCCTTTTTGCTTAACCTCACTTTATCAAGATGGAAGAAAACGCATCCCTTCACTTCCAATAATTACCTTGTTTTATTTTAATTTGTTTGCACAAATAAAACACTGTTAACGTTTAATTTTGTTTGTATAAAATGCACAGAAAATTTTGAAATATTTGTATAAACTTTTTTCAAAAACGTTTCGCAATTATTTCACAATAATGAATTGCTTTAATACAGCGCAGCTAATATAACCTCTCGAAAAGCACAATTGATAATAATCGTCGTTTTTTTTCTTCTTGCAAAGGCAATATGGCGTAGTTAAAAGGAGAGAAAGAGAGAGCGAACGAGCAACAAAAACATAGGCACAGTTGTTTAGTAAAAGTACTTAAACAGCTGTTTAACATAACAGTTGTTTATTTTTGTTCCCAATTAGATTTAGGAAGTGTTTGGTTAAATGTTAAAAGTCAAAGATAAACAAATACACTAAGAGAAATTATCAAAAATTATTAAAGAAAATAAAGTATACTATATTTATGCAACAAATTCCAATTATTTCAAAAGTTTTCTTAAAAAAATTTCTTTAAATAAAAACAATTTATAGGAAATTATTCAAATATTGAAAATTTTTGAAAATTATTGTATAATATTGAAAACATATAAAAAAAATATTGAAAAATATTGAGTGTTTGAAAAATATTGAAAATTTTTGGAATATTTTCATGATTTTTGAACATTTTTTGAAAAATATTGAATTGAATTTTGAATATTGAATTTTGGAAAAAATTTAAAAAAAAATTGAAAATTTCTAAAAATTATGGCAAATTTTTGTAAAATATTGAAAATTTATAAAAAAAAATGTTGAAAGTGTTTAAAAATATAAAAATTTTTGGAAAATATTGAATTTGTATTGAAAAATATTGATAATTTTTTAAAAATATTGAGAAAAAGAAATATATAGAATGTTATTGAACATTTTTAAAAATTATAGAATATTAAAAAAATATTGAAAATGTTCATGAAACTTAAAAGAATATATTGAAACTATTTGAAAAATATTTAAAATGTTAAAGAAATATTGAATTTTTAAAAAATATTGAATATTTTAAAAATATTTCAATATTGAAAATTATAAAAAATGGAACTTTTTTGAAAAATATTGAATATTATTAAAAAATGTTAAAATTTAAAAAAATATTGCAAATTTTTGAAAAACATTAAAAATTTTTAAACATTTTAAATAATAAAAATTTATAAAAAAATATTGAAAATTAAAAAATAAATGGAAATTTTTAAAAATATATTAAAAAATATTGAAAATCTATGAACAATATTGAAAATCTGAAAAAAAAAAATTTTAAATATTAAAAATTTAAAAAAAAATAAGAATATTGGAAATTTAAAAAATATATTTAAAATTAAAAAAAAAGATATTGAAAATTTTTTTAAATTTTTAAAAAAATATAAAAAAGGTAGAAAATATTGAAAATCTTTGAAAAATATTGAAAAACTGTAAAATAAAAATATTGACAAATTTTTACAAATATTGAAAATGTTAAAAAAATATTAAATTTTTTTTTAAAATATTGAAAATCCTAAAAAAATAAAATCTTAGAAAAATATTGAAAATATAAGAAAGATATTGAAAATTAAAAAAAAATGTAGAAAATTTAAGATAAATGTAATGAAAACTTTAAAAAAAAATATTGAAAATTTCTAAACATTATTGAAATTTAAAAAAATATATTAAAAATTAAAAAAATATATTGAAAATTTTTGAAAAATAATGATAATATAAAAAAATATTGAAATTTATAGAAAATATTGAAAATTAAAAAAGTATATTGACTATTAAAAAAAAATATTTAACATTTTTTAAAAAATAATTGGAAATTTTTTAAAAAAAATATTAAAAATTTAAAAAAAATATATTGAAAAATTTTGAAAAATATTGAAACTTATAGAAAATATTGAAAATTAAAAAAGTATATTGAATATTAAAAAAAATATATATATTTAACATTTTTTAAAAAATTATTGGAAATTTTTTAAAAAAATATTGAAAATTTAAAAAAAATATTGAAAATTTTTGAAAATATAAAAAATATTGAAATTTATAGAAAATATTGAAAATTAAAAAAGTATATTGAATATTAAAAAAAATGTTTAAAATTTAAAAAACAAAATTGGAAATTTTTTAACAAAATATTGAATATTTTTTAAAAAAATATTGAAAATTAAAAAAAAATATTGAAAATTAAAAAAAAAATATTGAAAATTAAAAAAAAATATTGAAAATTATAAAATAAAATAAATATTGAAAATTAAGAAAAATATATATATTGAAAAATATTGAAAATATAAAAAATATTGAAATTTATAGAAAATATTGAAAATTAAAAAAGTATATTGAATATTAAAAAAAAATGTTTAAAATTTAAAAAAAAAATATTGAAAATTTTTTAAAAAAAATATGGGAAATTTTTTAAAAAAATATTGAAAATTTTTTAAAAAAATATTGAAAATTTTTTAAAAAAATATTGAAAATTAAAAAAAATATTGAAAATTAAAAAAAACGATTGAAAATTAAAAAAAAAATGTTGAAAATTAAAAAAAAATATTGAAAATTAAAAAAAATATTGAAAATTATAAAGTAAAATAAATATTGAAAATTAAAAAATACATATACATAAGTATATTGAAAAATATTGAAAATTAAAAAATATATATATATATATATATTGAAAAATATAAAAAAATATATTGAAATTAAAAAAAAAATATTGAAAATTTAATAAAATATATTGAAAATTTTTTTAAACAAATATTTCAATATTTTAAAAAATATTGAAAATATAAAAAAATATTGAAAATATGAAAAATATATTGAAAGCTCTTAAAAAATATTGAAAATTATAAAATAGATATTAAATTTTTTTTTTAAATATTGATATTTTTTGTGAACAAAAAACAATTTTTTTTTGGAAAAAATATTAAAAAAATAAATAAAATATTGAAATTTTTTGAATATTGTAAATTTTAAAGAAAACGGATTTTTAAGATTTCTTACAAGTTCTTTTTAACGTTTCATTCTATTTCATATTTTAGTTAGATCAAAGTTTATGAGCTTTTTCCTTGATGTATTCTTGTTTATCATTATTTTTTGATTTTTTTTCTTTTTATTTCTATTTACGTGATTTTCAGATAATTGATATTTACTTGCCAGTTATAAAATGATTTTCTCCATTTTTTTGTCAAAAATTCCAGCTTTTAAGTTTTTTATTTAGTTAATTCATAGGATCATATTAAAACTAAAAGAAAAGAATAAGATTAAATAAATTTTAAGCTTTAAAAAAGGAAAAGCTTTGCCTACTTTGAAATTTGCCTTATTTTTTAAGACTTTTCGAGGTTTATTTTCTTCAGTTATATGTTTACAAAGTTTTTAGGAATTTCTTTAAAAAACTGCAAAGAAAAACCAAACGATTAAAGATAAAATTTTTGTAACAAATTTGCTTAAAACAAACCTTCTCGTTTCTCTCCTTAAACATCCTATTTCTACTCATCTAACAGCTCCATTTTCAAACGTTTATTACCATAACGTATTTCGCCTTGACAAGAGCTCAACTTTTCCACAGCTAGAGTCGAAATGTAAATATATAAATCTTTGCCATTATTATGGGGTCTTTTACGACTATATTTCAGAGTCCAGCTTCTGGAATGTAATGCTTGATTATCATCCTTTAAAATCTTTAGTATTGACATATCATCTGCATTTGGTGGCGGTATCCAAACTCTAACAACGGGTTGTTTGGGCAGCTCACTTACAGGTATAAAATCATATTGCTGCCGTGGATTTAAAAGCTTTTGTTTGATAATAAACCTTTTGATGAAATCTAAAGCTTGTATATTTTCACATTTTACTATTTTAAAGCCATTCTTCCATTGTTTAGCATCAAATTGTCTTATATTGTTATTGTTTGTCTTTTCTACTTCATAGCGTAAAGCTTTAAAAAGATCTCCTTCCAGTTGGGACCACAAACGTTTGTTTAATTTTAGATCCGTTTCATTACGATCGATTATGGCAATTTGTAGTTGTGAATTGTTGTTAACATGAGGAAGGTTGGAGTTTGTCGAGAGCTTCCAAAGAGCCGGATTTGGATAGCTAATGAGTTGGTTAGAACTATCTGATGTCTGCGGCTCGGCATAGTTATTGTTTGTGGATGAGTTCCATCTTGTTTTTTTGTTGTGTTGGCTTTCATTTGGTTTCTCCTGCGACTGGTTGTTGTTAGTTTGCTTTGTCTTAGAGCAAAATTTGGTTTCATATTGTTTGACAATAAATTCACTGGTTTCTTTAAAGAATTTCTCTTGTTCGCTTAAATTTTCGCTGGCACGACCTTCTAATTTTCTCAAGTGTGCCAAAGCTTTATAATATTCCATTTCGGCTTTTTTCTCCACCTTCTCCTCGTGATCGCTATCATCCGATAAGGTTATGACTTCGGTTGCTTTTAAATCAGATTTACGTTTTCCTAAATTTTGAGAGTGGCTATCTCTGGCATTTTGTAGTTGAGTTTGGGAAACTGGTGGTTTGTTTGCACCCAGTGCATTTAACAATTCAAAAAGTTGTTTTTCCAATTGGATTTTAGATGGTTCAACCTGATTAATCATTTGTGTTCTTTCAGCTGGATTAGTGTTATTCCAAGCCGTCACATTTCTGCTAGAACTTGCTGCGAAAGATGTTAATTGTTGAGAAGAATTTTGGGATTCCTGATTGAAGTGTGTTGTCATAAATTGGGTATTAGGGGAAGTGTAGTTTGCTCCCTTTGGCTCATCATATTTCCAGGCAGTATTTGCCATTTGATTTTGTCTCCATGATTGTTCTGTTTCATAGTTATTATTAGCTGCCATGGAAGTTTCTATTCCTTGATTATTTCCTCTCATTTCAGGGCGATTATATTGATTTGATTCTGAATCAAAGTATCTTCTTCCATTAAAGTCAAAGTCTTGTCTATTTCCTCTCATTTCTTGGTAATCATTTGCCTGTTTCATTTGTTCTGTTTCATAGTTATTGTTAGCTGTCTTGCAAGTTTCTATTCCTTGATTATTTCCTCTCATTTCAGGGCGATTATATTGATTTGATTCTAAATCAAAGTTTCTTCTTCCATTAAAGTCAAAGTCTTGTCTATCTCCTCTTATTTCTTGGTAATCATTTGCCTGTGTATCCTCAAAGTTCCAAGAACTATTTGATCTTTGTTCGCCCCTAAACTCAAAGTTATTTCTATCAGTGAAAGATTCTGCTGTTGTACAATTCCAAGAGTTATCTGGCCTCCAATTTGGTTCCATTTGCGTGTTATAGTTATTTTCGGAATTAAAAGGAAATTCACCCTTAAAGTTTGAGGAATTACCGCCCGTTTGTGGAAAACTTTCAGGCTGCATTTGTCCCGAGTTCCAAGCACCCCAATTTTGAGAATTTTGTTCATCATTAGGGAATTGATTGCTAGATGATCGATGGCCCCAGGAACCTTGAGAAAAATCTTCCATTTGCTGCCTTAAACCACAAGAGCTGTTAGAGTCACCATAATTAACAGATAATTGAAAGCCTTGAACATTTTGTGGTTGACCATTTCCAATGTTATCCATTGGCGTACGTGGCAGATTATTACGTTCTTCATACTCCCTAATGAAACGTTTAATTCTTTTTAGACTTTTACGTTCGTTGCGTGTTAACTGACCCAATCCAGCATAAAATTTCAGACGATCCATAGAAGTTAAATAACGTCTGTATTCCTCAATAGCACCATTTCCTGATGATTCTTTACCACAGTCATTTGTAGTGTTTAAGGAATGTTCATTAGAATTTTGTATTTCATCTATTTCTATAACATTTAAGCTTAAACCCTCAAAGACATCTTTAACCTGTGCCATACAGTTGCAGAGAAACTCCTTGGAGAACTTATCCTGACACTGTAACAAATAGTAACCACGATATATTTCACCCGAATCGTAACGTGGTATTGGACCATTTTTATTATTTAAAAGATATTTAAATAGAATATCACTTATACGCGTTTCTATCATTGGCCATTGGGACGCCGGAACCGGTTGTCGGTTTCCTAGCTTTTCATTAACCAAAGCCATACAAAGCTCATTTCTGCCAGAATTTGAGGACGTTCTTATTTCGGACTTTTTTCTATTCCCTCCCATCTGTTGTGTATAACTTGATTCTCTATACTCTTGCCTTTTCTGAGCCTCCCTTTCTCTCCTAGCTTCTGCAAATTTTAATTTTTGTTCGTTTATTATATACTCACGATACTCCTTAATGGTTTTTTCACATCTCTCCCGATCTTTTTTATCGTATATAGGACGCTTGCGATAACGAGCATTTTGCTTTATTTTGTGCAATAACTCCTTGGCTTTTATATAGCGTTTTCTTAAAGTTTCAGCATAACTATTATTTTCTCTGTCGCCGGAACCTGTATGTCCAAAAGATGAAGCCATTTGATCCATATTTAATCCGGGTAGCACAATACTTTATGATTGATAATATAGCCAAAACCTAACCGGCAACTGGAGACGCCTTCGAAGGGAGATTGATAAACTGCCTACTACTTAGTAAAAAAGTAGTAAAAATCTTTTCTGTTTAGCAGGAATTATACAAAAACACTTTGGATATATTTTACCAAAACCACGAGCTCCTCAACACGGATTCCTGTCTACGGGTGACTTAATAACGGCACCTTTATCGCCACCTGTAGAAAACACGTGTTTACTTTAGTTATTCTGTGTGAAAATTCAACTTTTTACAAATATTCACTTATATTTTTCAATATTTCTCTTTATAATTATTTAAAATTTTTACACAATTTGTGTATTTCTTCCCTTTTTTCACAAAGCGCAAAGAAATGCAAATTTGATAAACAAATACTTTGACAGCTAAAGTTAAACAAAACAGGGTTGACTACTCTTTTTAAATTAAACAGCAAATCAGCGTTTTTAACGCTAAGTTGGCAACGCTGTTTAATAAATCTATAGAAATACGCTAGTGCTAACAAATTAAAGGCTTTTTTTAAAGCTTGGTATAATATATTAATTAAAAAATTAATAGAAATAAAAGAAAAATTAATAATATATGAATTAAATATTAATTATTATTGTCAGCTAATAATTTTAATAAAAAATCATAAACAAGTTAACAAAATGTGTGTAAATTTTTAGGTTAGCACTTAGATTAGATTAAAATTTAAAGTTTAAAACCAGCGGTAATTTATAAATACAACTATTTCTGAAAATTTCCCCTTAAAATGGCATAAAAATAAGAAATCATTTTTGAGGTTAGAAAGAAAATTTAATAATATAAAAAAATTTTTTAGTGTTTTTAAAAGAAATTTTAAAATTTAAAGCTTAAAACTTAGAGAAATTTACTAAAACTACCGTTTTATTTAATATTTACTTCGTTTAGCGTAAAAATTAAAAAAATAATTTTGAGGTTATGTTGAATTTGTTCGTGGTTTTATAGGAAATATTAAAATTTAAAGCTTAAAATCTAAAGGAATTTGCTGCAACTATTATTTTCTTTAATTTTTACTTAATTTCAAGAAATAGTTTCAAGAAATAGTTCAATTATCCTTGCAAATCTCTACTAACTTTTAGTTTTTTTTCTTTTTAATTATTTTTACTTTGAAAAATGAATTAAGAACTTTTGCAAATATCACTGCAAAACTCAGCTGACTTTTATTTTTTTCTTTTTAATAGTTTTTACTTTAATATTTGAGGAGCTTTAGCAACTGAACAGCTAGCTTATGACTTTCTGTATCACTTGCTTAAGTTCCTCTTGTTCTATTTACTTTAATTGAATTTCTATTTTTTAACTTACCTTCCTTTTTTATTAAAGTTTAACTTGTTTTTCCTACAACTAATACAAACTTCTAAGCAGTTTGAACTTTTTATAAGGAAAATAAGACAAGTTATTAATATTATTATTTATTTCACAGGATCATATTAAAGCTTAAAGAAATAATAAAAAAATTATTAAATAAATGTTGGGCTTTAAAGCTTAGCTAACTTACCTTGGAAATTGCAAAAAAAGAATCCAAACATTCCAGTTTATATTAATCCAGTTATTTATAGAGAAAACTTCAAGATTTTTATTTGATATATTTACAATGTTATAAAACTAAAACTGCAAAGAAAAACAAAACGATTAAAGTCACGCTTTAAAACAAAAGTTCTCCAAACAAACCTCCTGTTAACGACAACTTATTGTTCCACTCCAAAATCCTGCTCTTCTGGCAGTTCCATTTTTAAACGATTTATACCATAACGTATTTTCCCTTGACAATATCTCAACCTATCCACCGATGCAGCCGAAATGCTAATATATAAATCTTTACCATTCCTATTGGATCTCTCACGACTATTTATTAGAGTCCAACAGTTGGTATATAAAGTATGATTTTGTGCCTTTATTATTTTTAGAATGGCCATATCATCAGCATTTGGTGGCGGTATCCAAACTTTAACTATAGAACGTTTGGGCAGCTCATTAATGGGTATAACATCGTATTGTTGGCGGGGATTTTGTAAGGTTTGTTTAATAATGAAACGTTTAATGAAATTTAAAGCTTCCATGTTTTCACATTGTATCACTTTAACGCCATATTTCCAGTGCATGGCGTCAAACTGGGTGATATTGGTATTATTTGTCTTTTCAACTTCATAGTGTAAAGCTTTAATAAGATTTTCTTCCATTTGGGACCACAAATGTTTGGCGATACTTAGATCGGGTTTAAGGCGATCTATTATAGCAATTTGTAGTTCAGGTTGAGTTTTAAGAGAGGTATAGAGTGATGTTGCTGAAGGATTAACTGAGTTATTTGTTTGCGTTAAGTTATTGCTGGAACCTCCGGCTATCTGTTGAATAGTATTATTGTTTGCTGTTGAGTTCCATCTTGTTCGTTTGCCTTGGTTTTTATTAGTTTTTTCCTGTTTCGAACCAAATTTGTTTTGATATTGTCTTACTATAAATTCACTGGTTTCTTTAAAGAATTGCTCTTGTTCACTTAAAAATTTGTGGTTACGACCTTGTAGTTTCTTTAGAAAACCTAAGGCTTTAAAATATTCCTTTTCGGCCTTTTCCTCCTCTTCCTGATCGCTATCATCCGTTAGGGTTATCACTTCTGTTGGTGGTAAATCAGACTTACGCTTTCCTAATATTTGGGAAGTACTTTCTGTGGTAGTTTTTAGTTCAATTTGGGTAATAGGAAGTTTATTTGGAAGCTTTAAGTGTTCCTCTTCTATGTTGTCTCCACTTAAAGCATTTAACAGTTCAAATATGCGTTTTTCCAATAGGATTTTGGCTGATTCCTCCTCAGTGTTTGATTTATTAGGTTCCTTAATCTCTTGAGATCTTTCTGCTGGTTCGGAGTTATTCCAAGAACTATTTGCCATCATATTTCTGCTTGAACTTGGCTCCGCAGAAGAGCTTAAATGTTGAGGGAAATTTTGCTTTTCTAGATGGTAGTTAGCCCTACTAAATTGGGGATTTGGAGAACCATAACTTCCTCCTTTGTCATCGCCATAGTTCCATGTCTCAGTATGTGATTTATTAGATTCCCTATTCGATTGAGATCTTTCAACCGAGGAGGTTAATTGTTGAGGAAAATTTTGAGTTTCTAGATTGAAGTCGTCTCCTCCTTTTACATTGTCATAGTTCCATTTAGTATTTGCCATTTGGTTTGGCCTCCAAGTTTCTTCAGTTTCCAGATTATTTCTAGCACTAGATTTAGGCTTTGGTGAATGACAATTTGTGGAAGAATTACCTCTCAGTTCATATCTGCTTTCAAATTCTGGATTAAAATCATTCCACAAACCATTAGCTGTTTGATGTGATCTAAAATTTTGTTCTTGATCAAAGTTCCTTACACTTTCCGAGTTAAAATCTTTACTTTCTTTCGTAGATTCCTCAAAGTTCCAAGAACTATTTGGACTTTTTTCTTCCTCAAACTCAAGGCTAGATTTTTGCCTTCTTTCAAATAATCTCTCTGTTTTTGTATCACTATTATTCCAAGTACTTTCTGGCCTCCCGCATGCTTCCAATTCTAATTCATAATTATTTCCAAAGGCAGTTCTATTAAAAGAAGACTTACCGCTTATTTGTGCATTACTTCCATCCTCCATTTCTTTAGAGTTCCAGGAACTATTAGCACCCCAATTTAGTGACCTTTGCTCTTCTTTAGGAAAATTATTGTTATTTGTTTGATCAGTCCAGTTGGCTTGTGAAAACTCTCCCGCTAGTTGCCTTGAATCATGAGAGACATCTGTTTCAAAATAATTAACTGATAATTGAAAACCTTGTGTGTTTTTTTGTGGTGGCCCATTAGCGCCATTAACGGGTTGTGTTAGTGGCAAGCCATTACGTTGTTCATATTTCCTAATGGCCCGACGACATTTTCTTTCATTTCTTCTCTCATTTTGGTTTAATTTACGCTTTGCATTAAAAATTTTCATACGATCCAAAGAAGCTAGATAATAACGATGTTTATCAGCAGCTGAGGTGGATTGTGATAGTTTGCGCCACACCGGAGGAGAATTTGGTCGTTTTGGAGCGGCTAAAGTTTCATGAGATACCCCTAAAGTTGCCGTAAAAGGACTATCTGTTGGTATTTTATATATCTCTATTACATTTAAACTTAATCCTTCAAATTCATCTTTTACTTGTGTTATACAATTACAGAGAAACTCCTTGGAGAACTCATCCTGGCACTGTATCAAATAGTAGCCACGATATATATCACCGGAATTGAAGCGTGGTATAGGAGCGTTTTTATTGTGTAAATTATATTTAAACTGAAGATCACTAATACGTTTTTCAATCATTGGCCATTGGGAGACCATTACTGGTTGTAGTTTACCTTCTTTTTCGTTAACCAAAGCCATGCAAAGATTATTCTTCCTAATTTTATAGGTTGATATCTGCACTTGGTGCTGTTTTATTATGGGTGGAGTTTGTTTCACTTCACACTGTTGATTTAAACTTATTCCTATCTTGTTCGGTGTCATCTTTGTCGGTTCTTCCTTTTTTATGTTGGACTGAGGCTTTTTCGCTCTATTCTGGGAATTTAAACTAATTTCTCCCTTTAATTTTACTTCACGCCATTGATTAAAACTTATTCCTTTCTTGTCCGGGGCCATATTTGTCTGTTCTTCCTTTTGTATGTTGGACTGTGGCTTTTTTGTGTTATTGTGGAGATTTAAACTTATTTTGCTCTTCTCCGGTGCCACCTTTGTCTGCTCTTCCTTCTTTCTTATAGACTGTATCTTTTTCACTTCATTCTGCTGATGTAAACTTATTTCATTCTTAACTGCGGTAACCTTTGTCGGTTCTTCCTTTTTTACGACGGTTTGTATTTTATTCACTTCACTTTGCTTATTTAGACTTATTCCCTTCTGCTCTTCCTTCTTTTTCATGTCTGCTTGAGTTCTTTGATACCTAAGGTATTCCTCAATAATAATTTCACATCTCTCACGATCTATTTGATCCATTTCATGAGGCGTACCTTTACGTTCGTTTTCTTTAATTTTTGACATTATAAAACAGGCCTTAGTATAGCGTGTTTTCAATGTAGTGCCAAAAGGTTTCCTTCTCCTGCGTGTGCGCTTTTTTCCAGTAGATGGAATACATTGTTCCATTATCAGATAGCAGCCTGGTATTACTCTATGACAAGTAAACAGTATCCGCCAGCAGAGTATAAACTCTCTCCAAAAGCAGAGGACTCAGTCTTTCCGTTAACAGGTGACGCAATCTATGAAAGACTGACAAATTTGAACAGCAGCTACTCTCCAACAGAAAATATAGTCAAATTTTTGGCGGTATGTTAGCTATACAGTTTTAGGAACTATATAAACCTCTCCTAAGGGCTCAACTGGTATGATTCCTTCTATAAGGCAGACTTTTATAAAAACACGTGCTTACTTCTATTATTTTAATAAACATCTACTTTTTAGAGATATTTTTTAATGTTTTTCCTTAAATTTCTCAATTTTTTTTCACAAATTTCTACAACTTTGTTTAATTTTACGCAGAAATTTAAAAGTTATAAACAAAACAAATTTGACAGCTCTCTGTTAGCAGAACAATGTTGATAACATTTCTTTTAACAAACTATCATATAAGCGATTTTTGTCTCCAAGTTGGCAACGCTGTTAACTAAATCTATACAAATACAACAGTGTCGACATATAAAAGGATTTTTTAAACGCTTATAATTTATTTTGAGTGAAAAATTAAAGATAACCTCAAAAATTTCAACAAATAATTAAAATTTTAAGCTATAAAACTACTTTAAACTATTACCTGCTAATAATCTTAATGAAACTTTAATAAGAAACAAAATAAAAAGCTTAAAACCTACAGGAATCTATTAATACTACCATTTTCATCTATTTTTACTTAATAAAGCGTGAAAACTTAAAATAAAATTGAGGTTATGTTGAAGTTTTCAAGTTAATAAGCGATATATTTAAAAATTTAAAGCTTAAAACCCACTGAATTTTAAAAATTGTTTTCCCATTTCTCCCATTTTAACATATTTAAGCATGATAATTAAAAAAATAATGTTAGGTTATGTTGAATTCATTCAAGTCCTTAAAGGAATTTTAAAATATTAAAGCTTAACATCTGCAGTTATTACATAAACGTTTTCTTAACTTGGTGCAAATATTTAAAAAATATTTTAAATTTTCTTAAATTACTTTAAAAGATTTTAAAAAGTAAACAAATTGAGTTTAGGAAGTAGTTTTGAGGTTATGTTGATTATTTTTTTTTTATTATTTTTAAGGAATTTAATATTTTTATTTGATAAGAATATAAAATTACTCTATTTTTGTGCTAGTTCTACTATAGTTCAGATTTATATCTATTTTTAGTCATTTCTGGATCAAATCTAGTTTATTCAGTAAATATCAATTCAAGATTAATTTAAGTTCAATTTTGAACCAAATATGTACATATATTCCACTTCAGATGAGCTTAATTCTTTTCTCATCTTCAAAAATTAAAACACTTAATTTATTTTTTTATTATTTTTTTAATAATTATAATTTTATTTAAGAAGTTTCTGTATTTTTTCATGTTTTTTTGGAACATTTTTTTTTGTAATTTAAAGATGATTGGTTTTTTTTATAGATTTTTTTGTATTTTATTATAATATTATAATTTGTGGTAATTTCAAGAAGTTAAACGAAAAGCTTAAAGCTTTTAACGTTAATAAGTAATAATTACTTTAGTAATTAAATATTAATAATACTTTAAGCTAATTATAATTAATTTGTTTTCCATTTTTTATGGTTGTTTAAATGTAATGAAGATTTAATAATATTTTTTAGGATTAAATATAATATTTAGTTTATTTTTTTAGCATGAAATGGAAAAAAATTAATAAGAAAACTTATAACTAAAAGTATTTAATATAAAAAAAAAAAACATTAAACGAAAAAAAATTATAAAAGAAATTTTTAAGCTAAATAAATTAACAAGTACGTTTTTGCATGTATTAAAATTATATATACAAATGGAAATTTGAGAGAAATTTTATTTCTTTTGATTTTTTCTAGTTTTTTTATTGAGTTATTTTAATGTTAATTTAAAGATAAGCTTAAACATTAATTTTCAGTTTTTTTTAATTAAATATATACATTTTTCATATTTTTTTAATAACAGAAATAAACTTAAAATTTTCATTTATATTTTAGTTTTTTAATAAAAAAATTAAAGTAATTTTTACATTTATTTAGTGGTTATTATTAAGTACTTAATAATATATAAACTATTTTAATAATTAATATAATTTCTTTGCTGTTTTAATTTTTGTTTAAAATTGTTTTAATTTAATTATACTTTCAGTTCTGTTTTTATTATTTAATTCAAAAAATTTGTTCAAAAAAAAGTTCATGTTTAATTTTTTGGTTTTGTATTTAAATTAAAAAAACGAACTAATATTTAAATTAAATATTTTTAATGATTTCTTTTTTTGGCAAGCATAATATTGTTGGTTGTTATGGATTTTTAAAGATGTTTTTTTTTTAATATTTAAATTTGTTAAGAAAGAGTCATGTGTAAATAAAGCTTTTTTTTAGCTTTATTATAGTTTATTGTTTTAATTTATAAACAAATAATTTTATAAATTAAAATAATTACCGCAAATAATTTAGTAATAATAAAGAAAACTTAACAAAAAGTTTTCATAGAAAACAATTTTATAAGAAAAATTTTAAGAGCCAAAATAAATGACTCCTAAAGTATAGAAAACCAATTAAGAAATAAGCGAAAGTAATAAAAAAAGAGTAATTATTTAAAAAAGAAACAAGAGAAGTTGCAAATTTAAATTTAACAACTAAATTTAAGAAATTCTTTAAGTATTTTATAAATTTTATTAATTTATTATGAGAAATTCCTTACAAAACAGCTAAGTTTACCGTTTTATAGAGAAAACATTAGATTTGCTAAAAACGCTTTAGTTGTTAACACTATTTTGTTGTTATTGCTTGGTATTTCTTCTTGCAGAAAATAACGGTCACATGCCGCCATAAACATTCTGGCAAATAGTTCCTTAAATTCAGTGAGAAATGCAAACAAATTATTGTATTTTTTAAAAAATCAAATTTTTCCAATTATTTTCATTCAATATTAACTATTTTTTTAATAATTTTATCACGAAATAACCATAAACAGTTATTTTTTCATTATTTCCATGAAAAACGTTTGATTTGTCAACAAAGAAACGATTAAGTTGGTAACACTGCAATCTTAAACTTGACGTTTACCGGTAAATTTGCCTTTATAAGAAAATGGCGGTGTACGAATTTCATTTAGTGTTAATTGTAACATGTAAGTTTTTACAAAAAATCTTATTAAATTAATAAAATTAAATTGTTTTTTTAAACTCTAGTTACTTTATAAATAATTACTCTTTTTTTTTGGTGCATAAAACTAAATTTAAAGGAATTGTTTTTAACGAATTTTTCAATTAAATTTTTGGTATTCCATTTTCTTTAACAGAAAGATATAAATTTTCTTTAAAAAAACTCTTATTTAATAACAATAAGAGCTTTGTGTATGTAATAACAAATTAATATATACTCCAAAACTAATTAATTAATAACGAAAACTTATGTTAAAACGTATTTTTATGTTTTTAAAAATATACGAATAAATAAAGAAAAATACTCTTACATTTCTTGCGGCTATTTTAAAAAGTGTCCCCAGCATACCAGGGATGTATCCAGGGTGCCGAGGGTGGTGGTGTGGGTGGATAGATAGTGGGTGAGGGTAGTCCATGGGCCCCTGCAGCCGCTACGCCGGGCAAATGGGGAGGATAAGGATTAACTAAAGCTGGTGCTGAGAAGGGTGCAGCCACTCCAAATAGAGCAGCCGAGGCAGCGGCGGCATGTGCTGCCAAAGAGGCCGAGGAGGCCGCAGACGAGTTAGTGGCTGCCGTTGATCCTGTGTTATTAGTGGAGGAGTTGTTGTTGTGATTACTGCTGTTGTTATTGTTAGTATTGGAGGTTAAAGAAGCCACTGAAAAGTTGGAGGACTTATTTCCTCCTCCTGTGTTGGTGGAGGAGGAAGTGGAGGCCAAGGAAGAGGCAGAGGCATTAGAGGATGATCTTTGATGGTGTGTTTCTGCTGTGTTATGACTTGTCGTATGATTACCGCTAAACATGGAGAGAAAATCACTGGCCGAAGCCGCCAGTGAAGAATGTGCGGCACTGGCAGAACGCTGTTGATTAGAAGACGTGCTAGAGTTATTGGAGGAAGCAGAACTGGAACGTTTGTGGCTGCCGGAGGCATTATGGGAGCTGGCCGCCGCTGTACTAGAGGCTCCTAACCAATCGAAAGGATTGGCAAAGGGATTAACGGCACTCAAGGTGGAATTGGCAGCCGCCGCACTTAGGGGAGGACTTAACATGGTGGCAGCAGCAGCTGCTGCAGCCGAATAATAAGCAGCAGCACTTTCGGCGGCAGCAGCAGCCGCCAACTGATGAGCTGCTGAGAGTCTTTGGGCAGCAGAGCTGGCTGAGTTAGAAGAGGAGGAACTACTATTACCGCTAGATTTATGAGAAGCAGAGCCAGTTGAACCCGAACTCTTGCTAGCTTTTTCAGCCTGCTGTTGTTGTTGTTGCTGCTGCTGTTGGTGATGTTGCTGCAAAAGTTGTTGCTGATGTTGATGGAATTGTTGCAAAGCTTGTTGCTGCTGTTGCAATAAATGTTGACGGGCAGCTGAGTTTTGATTGGCATTGGATGCTGATAATGATGCTGTTGAGGATGAGGATGACAACGGGGAGTACAACATATCAAGCGCTTGATGTGGAGGCGGTGGTGCTAAAGGTGTTTTGGTTTTATTACTACTGCTGCTGCTGCTACCACTGCTGCTGGCAGCTGCTGTTGAGGATGTTAAAGAGTTATCAGTTTTTGAGCCGGAATTCGTAGAATGTTGTCGACTGCTAGATGACTCTCTTTGTGTTTGGTGGTGGTGATGGTTGTTGTTGTGTTGCTCTTGATTTGTTGCTGTTGTTGTTGCCGTAGTTGCTGCTTGTGCTTGCGCATGTTGCTGTTGTCCTCCCCAACCCAATTCCTAGCTTATACGTGATCTTTTATTGGGTGGTTGCTCTTGATTTCTTATCATGAATGTCAATTGTGTCATGTACTTTAAAATGTCACGCACCTGCACCAGCGGTATATTCTCATTGTGCTGTGGATCGTGTTCCATTAAAACTTTCAATTGGTGTCTAAAGTAGCAAGAAATAAAAAGAAAAAATTAATAAATATGTCCAAACTACTGATTAGAATAGCACTGTCCAGAACTGATTACTCACCTATTGCCCTTGTAGAGCTCTACGCCCAGAGCCTCTATCAAACGCTTGCACTGATCCAAGGGCACCTGACGATAGAAATACGTTTGAAAATCCGTTAATGTCATCAACTGCTCACTGTCATTGTAGGCCTTCATATTGATACACGGCACCAGCTTATTCTCCACATAAACCTTTTGCACTTTATACGGCTGCATATTCAAATTGTTGGCGGGTATTTCGGGTATAACATTCAAACGTTGGGCACTGTCGGCCGCCGCAGCTGCTGCCAAAGCGTGACGCTGCAAATGCATACTGGCCGAGTTGACTTGAGAGGAGGCGGATGAGTTGGAGGAGCTGCGTCCATTCTGCTGTGAGTGATGTTGAGCTACAGCAGCGGCCGCCAAACGCTGTTGACTTTGTTGTTGGGCTGCAGCGGCAGCTGCGGCTTGTTGCTGCTGTTGTTGTTGCTGTTGTTGCAAATAGGCGGTGGCTGCTTGCAGAGACCTTCGGGGGGAAGATAAATCGATTACTTCCATTGGTGTGGGTGTAGTAGAAGAAGAGTTGGAGGAAAGTTGTGTTTGTGTAGGTGAGGCGTACGTGTTCTGTTGATGGTGGTGTTGGTAGGCTGTCAGTTTTGTACGTGTAGAGGGTGAGTGGGAGGAGGAAGAGGAGGACGAAGACGAGTTTGAGGTGGAGGGTGAAGGCAGTAATGAAGTGGCGCCGCCACCCAAGTTATTAGTGGAACAAATAACACTTTTCTGTCTATTATTACCTCCCGAATTGGAAGATGTGGAAGAGGCTGAGGAAGGTGAATGCGCCGCACTACTATGGCTAAAATGGGCAGGTAACTGTGGTGTTATGGTAACATGCGGATTAGGTACTATAGACACTGAAGTGCCGCCACTAGCAGCACCACCCAAAACACCATTTGCTGGTGATATGGGCGGTGATATAAAAGGCACAAAGGTATTGGAGGCATTGGTCTGTATAAAAGTGGATAAATCTGGATTGGATAGAACTTTTTGTACTACCGCTCGCATTTCATCATTCATTTTGAATTTCTTTTCAAAATCTTCCAAGGCGGCCGAGGAGTTTAAGGGAACTGTACCTGCAGCAGCATTTGAAACACTACCACTACGATTTCCCTTACGCTGTGGCTCTAAATTGTTGACAGGTATTAAAGGCGGTACATGAGGCTTAGTAAACTGGCCATTATTGCTGGCATTTGCTGAACCCCCCTGCTGTTTAGCCTTATTGGGATTATAATCCAACATGGTAATCAAATCAGTATCTAAAGGCAGCGAGGGTAAAGGAGGAAATGGATTCTTTATGCCTGCCCCACCACCTAATAAATTGCCAGAATTTTTAAACTGCTGTGTTAAAGCCAAACGTTGACTGGGTGTCAATTGATTCCACAAAGCTAAATTATTAAAATCTTGTGCTGTGGCTGGAGCCGAAGAAGCGGCTAAATTGAAATTATTAGCCAATAAAGCATTAGCATTGGAGGCTGCCGCCAATGGAGAGGGTGAAGGAGTTGAGGGTGAAGGTGATTGTTTAAGATTATTTAAACTATTGGGAGAATGTATGGGATTTAAGGAGGTATTTATATGTCTTTGTTGTTGTTGGTTTAATGTCTGTGAGGAATTGGAAGAGTTGGGTCTCTGTTGTTGTTGTTGTTGTGTTTGTTGTTGTTGCAGCAACGTTTGCTCGATACTAGACCTAGAAACATTATATATACACATTGATTGTTTGGATCACACTATTTCTTATTTTTTTTTGGTTTTGTTTTAGTTTTGTTTTAAGTTTCTTTCTTTTTAGTTTTTAATAGGAATTTTAAAAAATTTCCTTAATTAAATTTAGTTTTTAAATATAAAGAATTTTTCAAATTTAATTGTAATTGTTTTTGTAATTTAAATTTTTCTTAAAGCAAATATTTGTTTTAATAATAAAAGCGAATAGATTTTTTTAAACTGAACTAGAAACGATTCGGAACTGAAGTAGAAACGATTTAGATCTAAACTATAAACAAACGATAAAGAATTGGTCTAGAACTAAACTAGAATTGATCTTGAACTGATGTATAAATGATCTAGTATTGTTTCAGAACTGAACTCGAAATAATGCAGAAAGAATCTACGATTGATTCAAAGCTCTACCAGAAATGATCTTGAATTGATCCCCAACTGTTATAGAAATGATCCTGAACTGATGCAGTTATAAACTAGAAATTATGCTAAACTGATGTAGAATTGATCTACAACTAAACTAGAATTTTTATTAAACTGATCGAGAAATTAACTAGAATTGACCCACAATGGATTCAGAACTAAACTACAGTTTATAGGAAACTGATCTAGAATCGATCACAAAATGAAATAGGATTGATCCAGAACTAAACTAGAAATGATCTAGAAGTTAACTAAAACTGACCTAGAATTGAACCAAAACTGATCTAGAAATGATTCTGAACTGATCTAGAAATGATCCTGAACTGATCTAGAAGTGATCTCGAACTGATCTAAAAATGATCCAGAAGTGATCTATAAATTGTTCAAAAGTGATTTATAAATTATCCAGAACTGATCTAGATATGATCCTGAACTGATCTAGAATTAAACCTGAACTGATCTAGAAATAATCTTGAACTGATCTATAATTAATCTTGAACTGATCTGGAAGTAATCCAGAAGTGATCTGTAAATTATCCAGAAGTGATAAAGAAATGATCCTGAACTGATCTAGAATTAGTCCTGAACTGATCGAGGATTAATTCTTAACTGATTTAGAAATTATCCAGAAGTAATTTAGAATTGAACAGGAATTGATCTAGACTGATTCCTAATCGATCTAGAGTTGATCCTTAACTGATCTAGAAATAATCCTTAAATGATCTAGAAATTATGCAAAAGTAATTTAGAATTGAAAAGGAATTGATCTAGAAATGATCCCAAACTGATCTAGAAATGATCCTGAACTGATCTAGAAATGATCCTGTAGTGATCTATATAACAAAATTGGCTTGTAAGTACTATATATGTATATACAAATATTTACACTTAAAATTAAAATCCTTAAAAAATTTAAGAAAAATTTTTTATTCGCTTTTATTATATAAAACAAATTATAGAAAAAAATATTGATTTTTGGTTTAAAAAAATTGTGATTTAAATCTGTTTGTACACGCATTATATATAATGTATCTAGGAATTGTTATTTTGTTTTGGCTTTAATTGCAGTTAATTATTTATAAAGTTTTATATTGTAATTTCCGTTGGAGTGAAGGGGGGACTTTTTTCTTTTGGTTTTATCATTGGTTTTTTTGCAGTACGTAAAGAGGCAACAACAAGAAAAATCAACACATAAAGTATTTTATAAGATTTTATTCAAATAAAATACTTAAAACAAAAGTTTTGTGTAATGTTTAAAGTGAAAAAAAAAAAGAGTTTGTTCCAGTAAGTTGAGACAAAGAACGAAAATGTTTTTATTTTCAAGAGCAAATCAAAACAAAAATTTCAAATTTTAAACAACAATATAAAAGAAAGATTATGTTTTTCAAATGTTGTAGTTCTTTTTTTTTTAATAAAATAAAAACAAAAATTAGAAAGCAGATAGTCAACAACTAGTTTTACTATAAAAAAATGCATGCAGTTATAAGAGTTTTTTTTTGTTTTATGTAAAAATTTAAAATTTTATTTTAAAAATAGTCGTAACACGCATTTTTTTATAGAAATCTAATTTATAAATATTATTTTTTTATATAAATTAAATAGTTTTTAATTAGTTTATTAAGAAAAATTTATATTACGACTTTAGAAATACAAAAAAATTTTACGTTTATTAAAACAAAAATAAGAAGCAAATGTTTAAGGCATAAGGAATTGCCTAGAAAGAATTCTGCAGTGATCTGCAGTTGATCTTGAAATGATCCAGAACTTATTTAGAAATGAACCAGGAATGATATGGAAAAGATCCAAAACTGCTCAAGAAATGATCTAGGACTGATGTAGAATTGATCTGGAAATTATCCAGAAGTGATCTAGAAATGATTCAGAACTGATCTAGAAATTATGCAGAACTGATCTAGAAATGATCTAGATCTCATCTGGAAATTATCAAGAATTAATCTAGAAATTATTCAGAAATGATCCAGAACTCATCTAGAAATGATCCAGATCTAATCTAGAAATGATCCAGGAGTTATCAAGAAATGATCAGAACTGATCTAGAAACAATCAGAACTGATCTAGAAACGATCAGAACTGATCTAGAAATGATCCAGAACTGATCTAGATATTATCCAGAATCGATCTAGAAATGATCCAGAATTGATCTAGAAATTATACAGCACTGATTCAGAAATGATCCAGGAGTTATCTAGAAACGATCAGAACTGATCTAGAAACAATTCAGAACTAATCTATAAATGATTCAGAACTGCTCTAGAACTCAGAAAATATCTAGATCAATACTCAGAATATATCTAGAACAAATACTAAATTGATATAGAAATGATCCAGAACTGATCTAGAAAGGATATAGTACTGATCTAGATATGATCCAGAACTCATCTAGAAATGATCCAGAACTCATCTAGAAAAGATTCAGAACTCATCTAGAAATTAACCAGAACTGATCTAGAAATGATCCAGAACTCATCTAGAAATGATTCAGAATTGATCTAGAAATGAACCTAAACTCATCAAGAAATGATTTAGAACAGATCCAGTTTTAATGGAGAAATTATCTAGAACTGATCTAAAAACGATTCTGTACTGATCATGTTTCAGAAATGATCTAAAGTACTTTATAATATTTTAGAAATGATCTAAAGTTGATCTAGAAATGATCTTGTAGTGGTCGAATAATGATCCAGGACTTATCTAGAAATGATCCAGAATTGATCAAAAAATAATCAAGAACTGTTCTATAAAATATCCAATATCGATCTAGAAGTGATCCACAACTGATCTTAAAATTATCCAGAAGTGATCTATAAAAGATTCAGTATCAATCTAAAAATGATCAAGAATTGATCTAAAAATGATCCAGAACTTTTGTAAGAAAGATCCAGTATCGATCTAGAAATGATCCAAAACTGAATAAGAAATGATCCTGAAGTGATCTTTAAAAGTTTGAAATATTTTCTATGAACAAAAATATTAAAAATATCGAAAAGTTTTTTTAAATCCGCCTAAAAGTATGCTTTAACATTTAAAAACATAAGCACGCCTAAAAGTATACATTTAACACTATCTATTAATACAATTTAAAGCATGCTTTCTTTGAAAAAGAAAAAAATAATAATTTTAATTTAAATTTACACAAAAAATTTAAAAACTACAACAATACGAAAAACATGAGTAAAAAAGGAAGAATTTAAAAAAAAATATTATGAATATATAAAAAAAGGGTAATATTGAAAATTTTCTTTAAAAAAAATATATATTTTTTTTAAACTAAATTAAATGCGTGCACAACAAAATTTTCTTTAAATTGAAAAAAAAAAAAATAAAACTATTAACAAAAAAAATCAATAAAAATTTAGTAGTTTCTTAATTTAAACAAATTTTTTTTTTGCTAATTTTCTTTAAAAAAGTTTATTTTAAATGGTATACCAAAACCAATAATGTTATAATAACAACAATTTTTAAAAAAAGCCAATTTTACTCAATTAGTTTTGTAAAAGTTTTTTTCTTTTCTTAAACATTTTACGTAAAATAATTGAATTTATATTTTTAAGAATTGAGTGAGAGTGAGAGAAAAAAAAAAAAAACGAATTACAACTAAATTTGAAAAACACAATTATATATGTATAAAAATAATTGAATGTAATATAATAAGAAAGAAATTATATATATAAAAAAAATATTTTACTTTGAATGGATTGATTGACTGTCTAATAAAAACAAATTTGTAGTCTTTTTTGCAAAGAGAAAAACTTGTTCTCTTTGCAATTGATAATAATAGAAAAATGAGTTTTCACAAAATACTTACATATGATTGGCATTTTGTTGTCCAGCCGAACGTACTAGCGGAGGAGGAGCATTACCCTGTCCATGACTATTAACCGGTTGCATTGATATGGTGGCATTATTATAGGCTCCATAGGGTTGACGATTATTTAAAATGAGATTCTCCATGGGATTACGATATTGATTGCGGGAATTGGCGGCGGCTTGATTTTGATGAGCCTGCTGTACAAGTAAAAAGAAATAAAAAGAAAAAAAAATCGTTTAAAAAATAAAGTTCTTATATAGAACAAATTAATATTATTTTTAAGATATATATAGTTTCTAAGTTAGTGCTAGTTGAGATCTAAATTGATTCTGCTTTTATTCTAAATCAGTTTTAGAATATTTTTAGTTCTGTATAATGATTTTCGATCAGTTCAGTTCTATATAATCCGTTCTAGACAAATTCTAGATCAGTTCTGTATCTATTCTAATTTGATTCTAGTTCAATTCTAGATGATTTCTAGATTAGTTCTGCATTAATTATAAATCAATTCTAGATCAGTTCTGAATCTTTTCTAGATAAGTGTTAGACCAGTTCTAAATAATTTCTAGATTAGTTCTGGATCAGTTCTTGATTAATTCTCAGTTTTGGATCGTTTCTAGATCGATTAACAATAATTTCTATATCAGTTCTGGAACAATTCTAGATCATTTCATGATATATTCTACATCAGTTCTGAATGATTTCAAATCAATTCTAGCTCGATTCTGGATTAATTCCAGATAAGTTCTGGATCAATTCTAGATAAGTTCTTGATATATTCTAGTTTAATTCTGGATCGTTTCTAGATCTATTTAGTATAATTTCTATATTAGTTCGGGAACAATTCTAGATCATTTCTTGATATATTCTAGATCAGTTCTGAATGATTTATAGATTTGTTCTGGATCAAATATAAATCACTACTAGCTCGATCCTGGATTAATTCCAGATAAGTTCTGGATCAATTCTAGATAAGTTCTTGATATATTCTAGTTCAATTCTGGATCATTTCTAATTCTATTTAGTATAATTTCTATATTAGTTCGGGAACAATTCTAGAACATTTCTTGATATATTCTAGATCAGTTCTGAATGATTTATAGATTAGCTCTGAATCAAATATAAATCACTACTAGCTCGATCCTGGATTAATACCAGATAAGTTCTGGACCAATTCTAGATAAGTTCTTGATATATTCTAGTTCAATTCTGGATCGTTTCTAGATCTATTTAGTATAATTTCTATATTAGTTCGAGAACAATTCTAGATCATTTCTTGATATATTCTAGATCAGTTCTAAATGATTTCTAGATTAGTTCTGCATCAAATATAAATCAATTCTAGCTCGATCCTGGATCATTTCTAGTTCATTTCAAGTTTATAAAAATCAATCAATTCTAGGGTAATAATGGATTAATTCTAGATAATTTCTGGATCAATCATAAATCAATTCTAGGTCGGTTCTGGGTTCTATATCAGTTCTGGAATATTTTTAGATCGATTCTGAATAGTTTATAGATCGGTTCTGGATCAATTCCAGATTATTTCTTGATCACTTCAGGACCATTTCTATAACAGATCATAATCAATTATAAATGAATTCTAGATTAGTTCGGGATTATTTCGAGATCAGTTCTGGATTATTTCTAGATCAGTTTTGTATCATTTCTAGATCAGTTCAGGATCAATTCTAGATAAATTCTAAATCATTTCAAGATCAGTTCTAGATCAAATCTATTTTAATTTCACTTAGTTTTATATAGTTTTAACAAAATAGTGGCCTTAAAATTTAAAAAAAATACTTAACAATTTCCCGATTTTATTAAAAACGCAATAAGAGAACTTTAGTTTAAACTAATTTTATTAAAAAATTTTATATCACTGTTTAAAAATCTTAAGATTATATCAAAAATCTAAATTAAAAACAGAAAAAGAAACGTGATAGCAAAACAAAACTTTCAAATTGTAGGACAAAGTGTAAATGCATTTATTGGAATAGTGAAACAAATGGCCAGCATTTTAAAATTTTGTTTTTGTAGAAGAAAAAATTATAATTATTTTTGTTTAATTAAAAAAAATTTACATAAAAACTAGATTAATTACAAACTTACAAATAATTTAAATAAAATAAAAGTAATTATAATATTAGAGAGAAAGAGATAGTGAAAGAAAACTAAAATTAGTTAAAATATATTAAAAATAAACTAAAGGTATGTGTTTACAGGAGAAAAAGTGCAATTGTGATGTTATGAAGGTGTGATGGGTGTAAATGAGTGTGATTTCCTTTTAAGTTTTAGCTCCTTGAGTTTTAATTTCTTATTTGGTTTTTTGTTTTTAATTGTTATTTTGCAAACAATATCGTCCTATACATTAATATTCAGTTTTGTGAAAAGAAAAGCAAATAGATAATTTAGTTTTTATCTTCTTTGTCTAGTACGTTTTGTGCCATTGACCGTTGTTGAGCCGTTGGAGCCGGTTGTATTACTATTAGTGTATTGTTTACGCAGTGTGTTGTGATTGTTGCTGTTGTGGTTGTTGCTGTTGTTGGTGAGTTGCTGGATGTTTTGGGAAGCTTGATAGGCTTGATGTAAATACATCTATAAATGGGAGTGTATTGGAAAGGATAATAAAACGTCTAATTAATATTTTGAGTTTTTTTTTTTTTGTTTTTGTTTCGAATTGAATTTGCAACAAACAAACAATTAACAATTTACTACACAACTACTAGAAACAATACACTTACAATAGCACACTACACTAAACTACAAATAGATTTTTAAATAATAAAACAATTTTGGGAGATAAAACTACTTTATGAGGGTGGGCGGAAGGTGGTTGTTAAAATGTGGTCGTCTTTTAAATTCTAGTTTAGTTTTGTAACTATTCGATCAATTCTATATCACTTCAAGATCAGTTTTAAATAATTTATAGTTCAGTTCCTGGACAGTTCTGGATCAATTCTGAACCAAATATAAATCAGTTCTGGACCATTCCTAGATCAGTTCTGAATCACTTATAGATAAGCTGAGGATCAATTCTATCAGTTCTGGATCAATTCTAGGTCAGCTCAGGGTCAATTCTACATCAATTTTGAATCATTTCTAGATCAGTTCTGAATCAATTATAGATCAGTTCCGGATCATTTCTACATAAGTTCCAGATTAGTTTTAGATCGGTTCTGTATTATTTCTTGAGCAGTTCTAGATCGTTCCTAGAACGATTCTAGATTAATGCTAGATCATTTCTAGGTCAATTCTAGATCATTTCTAGATAATTTCTAGATCAATTCTAGATCATTCCTGAATCAATTCTAGATTGGTTCGGGATCAGTTCAATATCAGATCGGGAACATTTCTATATCAGGATCATATCTAGATTTTGTTCTAGATCAATTCAAGATCAGTTCTGAATCAGTTTAGTATAATTTCTAGTTCAGTTCAGGATCATGTTTAGATGTGTTCAGGAAGATTTTTAAATTAGCTCTAGATTAGTATAGTAATAAACTTTAGATCAGTTCTATACCATTTCTGGATTAGTTCTAAATCACTTCTAGATCAGTTCAGGTACATTTCTATAGCAGTCCAGAAACATTTACAGATCAATTCTGGATCAATTCAAGATCAGTTTAGTATCATTTGTAGATCAGTTCCGGATCATGTTCAGATTAGTTTAGGAAGATTTCTAAATCAATTCTGAATTAGCTCTAGATTAGTATTAGATCAGTTCTGTATAAACTCTAGATCAGTTCTAGATCATTTGTGGATTAGTTCTGAATCGCTTCTAGATCAGTTCAGTAACATTTCTAGATCAGTTTTAAATCGTTTCTAAATCAGTTCTGGAATATTTCTAAATCAGTTTAGGATCAGTTTAGAATAATGTCTAGATCAGTTCACATTTATTTCTAGGTTCAGGAAGATTTCTATATTAGTTCAGGATCATTTCTTAATCAGTTTAAAATCATTTCTAAATCTGTTCTGAATCAACTCTATATCAGTTGAGGATCATTTCTAAATCAGTTCTGAATCAATTCTAGATCAGTGCAGGATCACTTTTAGATCAGTTCTAGATCAATCTTGAACATATCTATTTCAGGATCATTTCTAGATCTGTTTACGATCTATTCTAGAATCAGAAAGATCAGTTTTGACTCTTTTATAGATTATTTTATATCAGTTTTGAATGATTTCTATTTCACTTCTGGATGATTTCTAATTCAGCTCTGATACACTTCTTCATCAGTTTTCGATTACTTTTAGTTCAGTTCATGTGGCATTGTAATAAGACTAAAGCAAAAGAGAGCAAAGCTAAAAAACGCTCAAGACCTTTTTGTCAATAAACGGGGCCCTTCTTCAAAAAAGCAACATTATTTTATAATAACATTTTTTAATAGAAGTTTGAAAATTATCTATTTAATAGAAAAACCAACAACTTGTTGTAGTCTGAGAAGAAGCATTACAAATGTTAAGAAGAAAAAAGAGACCATAAAGTGGAAAACAAAAAACCCAAAAAGAGTTTTAATACTAATAGAAGTAAAGTAAAGCAGGAGATAGTAAAAACACACAGTCTGTCTGTCTTGTAAGAAACAAAAAAAAAACAGCAAAATAATTTGTAGTACAAAACAAAAATCTAATAATAAAGTAGTTGTTTTTGTTATTGTTGTTTTTATAAACATAGATATAAATGTATCTCTCTATCTAAACGAGTGAGTTTGTTGTCTATGATGTTTTTGTATAAGTAGGCCAACTTCTTTTGTAGTTTTACGTTTCGTTTCGTCGTTTCATTTTTATACAGTTTTATATATTTTTTTTCTTAAATGCCTTTCTAACATTGTTGTTGCTGTTTTATGCTAGAAAAAAAAACTGCAAAAAAAAAATTACTTGAAAATATTTCTAAATACTTGACTACGTTTTTTATAAAATCTATTGCAATGAAAACAACGTTGACGAAGACTGCGACACAACAACAACGGCAAGATACACACAGACACGTCATATGAGAAGTTTTGATTCATTGAATTTATGAGATTTATTTAAAGATTTATAAAAATAACAAAAACAACAACAACAAAACAAAAACTAATAATAGCAAATAAATGACGTTTGTTATTGTTGTTGTTGTTGTTTTTTTAATATTAAAGTGGTAATTGGTTTTGAGGTCATACAGAAAAAAAATGTGAAAATAAAATTGAAAAGAAATGAAAAGAAAAAATCGATAATGAAATGAAAAGGCAATTGAAAAAGGGAGTAAAATAAAGTAATAAATCCTGTTGCAAAGCAAGTTTTATTGAAAAACTCTTTCTAGTTTTAGCCAAATTTAGCATAAACTAACAAAATTAGCAAAATTTAAAAAAGTAGTAGATTTTGAAAAAAGTATTATATCGTGAAAAAGGTAGTAAATATTGTTATAAGTAGTAAAATGTTCTCTTTTTAGAAAAATTTAACAAAAACTAATAATATTTGTGAAATTTAAAAAATTCGTAGATTTTGAAAAAAGTAGTATTTAGTGAAAAAAGTAGTAAATATTGTAAAAAGTAGAAAAATGTTAACTTCTCTAGCAAAATTTAACAAGAACTTAAAAAGATTGTGGAATTTAAAAGAGTAGAATATTTTGAAAAAAGTAGTATTTAGTAAAAAAAAGTAGTAAATAATGTAAAAAGTAGTAAAAAATTGACTTATCTAGCAAAATTTAATAAAAACTAACAAAATTTGTGAAATTTTAAAAAAGTGGTAGTTTTTAAAAAATGTACTATTTAGTGAAAAGGGTAGTAAATAATGTAAAAATGTAATAAAACATTGACTTCTAAAGCAAAATTTAACAAAAACTAACAAAATTAGCAAAATTTGTTAAATTTAAAAAAAGTAGTAGATTTTAGATAAGGTAGTAAATATAGAAAAAAGTAGTAGATAATGAAAAAAGTTGTAAAACGTTTTCCTTTTAGCAAAATTTAACAAAAACTAACATAATTTGTGATATTAAAAAAAAAATAGTAGAAGATGATAATTGTAGTAGACTTTGAAAAAGGTAGTAGATAATGAAATAACTAGTAAAATGTGTTCTTCTTTTATTAAAATTTTTCTTTTATTAGATTTTGAAAATGGTAGTAAACATTGAAAAAAGGCGGTTAATATTGTTAAAAGTAGTAAAATATTATCTTTTTAGCAAAATTTAACAAAAACTAACATAATTTGTGATATTAAAAAAAAAAAAATAGTAGAAGATGATAATTGTAGTAGACTTTGAAAAAGGTAGTAGATAATGAAATAACTAGTAAAATGTGTTCTTCTTTTATTAAAATTTTTCTTTTATTAGATTTTGAAAATGGTAGTAAACATTGAAAAAAGGCGGTTAATATTGTTAAAAGTTGTAAAATATTATCTTTTTAGCAAAATTTGGAAAAAACTAATAACATTTTTAAAATTTAAAATAGGAGTAGATTTTTAAAAAAGTAGTATTTATTGAAAAAGTAGCAAATAATAAAAATTGTAGTAAAATGTTCTGTTTTTAGGCAAAATTTAATAAAAACTAATAAAGTTTGTGAAATTTAAAAAAGGAGTAGATTTTGAAGAAGGTAGCAGACATTGCAAAAAAAGTATTATTTAGTGAAAAATTTAGTAAATATTGTAAAAAAACAGTAAAACGTTTTTTTACAATATTTTAACAAAAAATAAAAACATTTGTGAAATTTAAAAAAGTAGTAGATTTTGAAAAAGGTAGTAGATATTGTAAAAAAGGCAGTTAATATTAAAAACTATGCAAAAACGTTCTCTTTTTAGTTAAATTTAACAAAAACTAAAAAAATTTGTGAAATTTAAAAAAGTAGTAAATTTTGAAAAAAGGTAGTAATTAAAAAAAAGTACGTACACTTTTTAGCAAAAAAGTCTTGGAAAGAAAACATTATCTTTTTAGCCAAATTTGGCAAAAACTAACAAAATTTATTAAGTTTAAAAAAGTAGTAGATTTTGAAAAAAGTAGTTTATTTAAAAAAGGTAGTAGATATTGTGAAATATTGTAAAAAAAAATACTTTTTGCTAAATTTTATAAGAATAAAAAAATGTTGTAAAATTAAACAAATTTAAATAAAGTACTAAATTTTGAAAAAGTACTTCTTTATAGAAATGTGTTCATTATAAAAAAAAATTTTGCTTTTAGAAAAACAAAAACTTAAAAGTACCAAATATTGAAATAAAGTTCAAAATTTTGAAGAAAAGTACCAAAGATTAAAAAAGTACTAAACATTGAAAAAAGTACTTTTCATTAAAAACTGTTGGAAATAGCCATAGAAAGTAAATTTGAACCAAAATATTTGAAAAAAAATAACAAACATTAAAAAAAGTACTAAATCAATAAAATAAAATACTAAAAGTACTAAAATTTAAGTAAAAAGTACTTTTCATTAAAAAAAATGGAAAAATTTGAAACATCCAAGTATTTTGTATTTTGAAAGAGTCGCCGCACATAAACAACCAAACACAACCAGCCATTCATAAGGTGGTTTTAAAAAGTCTCTTGCCAGAGGCCCCTGTTCAATAAGGTGGCATACAGCAGATGACCTCTTTGTTGAAGCAATGAACAATATTGTGTGTAAATGAAATACAAAAAAATCTTATTAAAGTTTGAAAAAACAACGATAAAAGGGAAAGAATTCATTAAAAATTTTAATGGAAATCTTTTGGTTATTTGGTATCAGCTTTAATCTGTAATTGATTCTTAAGGTAATTTGGTCTAAACAAACTAGTAACAGGCAACATCTTTTAACTAACTTCTGTTTGTTAATACCAGGGAAGAGTTAATCTTAACAATTTGTGCTAAATTTGTTTAAAAACTTGTTTGTATTTAGTTATTTAGTAAGTCCTATTCATGGATAGTTTGTTTAAAGGTATTACAAGTTAATTATTCCTATTAAAACTCTCCGGCCGGGAAATCATTCTTTTAGAACTTGCAAAAGTTGGCTGCAGTAGTTTCAGTATAAAATCCCTTATGAATAGTCATGTTTCCATAACAATTTTATGATTTTCTTTATAAATTATCTGAATATCCTTGTTTTATACTTATTTAAGGAAAGAATGCAGCTTAAACTTGCTGTTAAAGTTGCTCCGGCATTGAAAAACATGTGGCCTAGAACTTTGCAAAGACTGCTTTAGTAGTTTCTTTAGCAAATGTTTAACTATGATGCTATTATTCCACTTTTTACTACAATTTTAACTTGCTTTCCTTTTGTTCCTTCAATATCCTTTAAAATGTTTCCATTTTTTGTTAAATGTTCCTTAAATTTATTAAAATTTTTATAAAATTTATCTAAAATATAAAAAATTTCTTACTCTTTACAAATACTCCTTCGTATTTCTTTATTTATTTTATTAATTAATGTTTATACTTTAATTTTTATTCAAAACAATAACACTTTAAACATTTTTCTTAAATTTTCTTAAAATATTTACAATTTTCATTCATTATTTTACAAAAAACTAAATTTTTCCTTTAATTTGTAAAAAATACCCTAATTGCAACAACTACTAATGTCACTTTTTGTTTTTTGTGTCTTATTTACTTAAAACTAGGCGGATGCTGTACTATAGCTGTCTCTTTCTCTCTCCTAGTTAAAGTTAATAAACTTCCTGTTTATTTGTTTACTATTTCCCTTTGTGCTAATTAAATGTCATTACTAATACTTAAATAAACAACCAATTTTAACTGTGTAGTACATTTTTATACAAGTATGTAAAGAAATAAAGCGCCATTTTAGTGAAAAATAAAGTGAAAAGTAAAATTTTGTAAAGAAAAACTTAAAAATATTGAAAAAAATGTGTTAAAAAGTTAAAATGTGTATAAAATTATAAATAAAGGCCACTATTTTGTTACTTTTATAAAAATAAACAAAAATATTAAAAAATAAAGAAATCTGTGAAACCCACCTGTGAGGCCAGCATTTGAGCATGTATTAAAGGTAAACTATTTTGCTGCTGAGACATCCAGGAACCATTGGCAATGGCCTAAGAGAAAGAATATTTAAATAGTTAATAAATATTTCTAATAATTTTGAGGTGGGAAGGCAAAAAAGTTTAACAATTTAAGATAAGCACCTGTACTGTGGCTGCTTGGGCGGCTAAAGCAGCATTTGAATGCATTCTATGAGCGGCCGCTGCAGCTGCTGCATTAGGCTGTTGCAGTAAAGATTGGGCATTAAAGGCTGTAGCTGCTGCTACAGCTGCCGCTGTAGGACCACGTTTTAATATTTGTTGCTGTTGAGCAGCTGCTGCTGCCGCCGCTGCAGCTGCTGAGGAATGTTGTGTTTGTTTTTGTTGCATGGTGGTTTGTGTTAATACTTTTGGCGGTGGCTGTGAGGGTTGTCTTGTCCAATTGACCGAATTATTGGCATTTGAGCGATTGCCTATTAGTAGATTAGAGTCCACCACTTTACTGGGCCAATAATCCTCAAATTCTGTGCCATTGGGAAAATAACTTTTAATGTCTGTCAGACTTATGACGGCCACATTTTCACTGGAGAATAGTTCATTACGTATGCCCTGAACCTTGCAGCAGAATTTCAAATAGGCCAAATCCCAGCCAGACAACAAGTCAGCCTTTTGTTTAAGATTTTCGGTTTCACCTTCGAAATAAAACAAAGGCACCACTTGTTCACCATTGCGCACCGTATAGGGCACCACGGATTCTTTGTTAATGCGTATAAAACCACATTTTTCCGAGGGTGATTTACTGCCCGATATTAGTTTACGATAGCAGATGTCCAGGAATTGATAAAACTTAGTGGCATCCGAGAGCCTAACCACCAAATCCTTTTGGGTAAATAAATCACGACCAAATTCACCATCACAATGTTTGTGATTGATTTCTATGAATAGTCTAGCCTCAGCCTCGGTTATATAGTAGGAACGTACACAAGTGCAGCTGGAATAGATATCAGGATGCAGACAATTGAGATATTTACCCAATAGCTTCATTTCTATCATGCGCACCGAGCAATATTTCTCCTGTTGCCGGTATATGTAGGGTATATAGGTTTTGCCAAATGTGGTCCAACCAAAATGGCCTTTTTGGGATTCCTCATCACAGGGAGGCTTTTTATTATCATCCGTACTTGAGGAACGACCATTAGAGGTGACCGAACCATTAGTGGGCTTTTGTGTGCGATTGAGATAATTTAGTATGTTTGTCTGACCATTGGCGGTGACGGGCGGTTGCATGCCATTGGCCTGCCTTAAGGCCATTTGCGCAGCCTGTTGCTGCTGTTTGGCTAAGGCATCCTTTTGGGCCTCTTTCATTTTGGCGGCGAGTTCTTGTATTTCCGCATCATCGGCTCTTTCTTGTTTAACGGGCGCAGACCAAGTGGAACCCAAACCGGTACCGTGTATAGGTAAAGGTTGGCCATTGGTGCCCAAAACGCTGGTAATTTCTATATCGGCCGACATTTTGTTAAATAAAAAACATTCAGGTGCAATGATTGATTTGCTTGTTTTGCGTTAAAAGTTTATTTTGTTAATATTTTTTTGTGTGGAATTTAGGCAATTTTTTTTTTGTATTTATTTTATTTATGTATTGCGCACATTTTTTTCTATTTGTTTTGCTTGCTGGCCACTTAAACTTGTTTTTTTTTAGAGATTAATTTTTAAAAAATTTATTTATTTAATTAAATTTTTTTAATTTGAATTCTTTTTTGTTAATTTCTTTTATTTTAAAAGCTGTTTTCTTGTAATTTTTTTTTAATATGAAATAGCTCTCTCTTTTCTTAGGTTTTTTCTAACTTTCTCTCTTTACTTTTTTTCTATTTGCTTGTTTTAGTACTCATTTGTCAAAAATAAGTAACTGCATTTGTTTTGTTGTTGTTTTAATAGTTGCTTATGATTGTTGTTGTTGTTAATTTGCTTTCTTTTTTTTTCAAACACTTTTTGTTACTATTTATTATTTCAATGCTGCTGTTGTTGTTTTATTTAGTAAAGCCTTCAAATGGCTGTTTTGTTGTTGTTGTTTTTTTCTTAATTCTTTGACAGCTTGTTAT